CTGCAGTGACCCTGCTGTGGTGTCAGGGGTGACCATCAGAGTCCTGCAAGGCAAGTGGGAGATGAGGAAGAGAAGTTCTTCCACTGCAGGCAATCCTGTCTTGTAGCACAAGGCTTAAAGGCAGGACAGAGTTCGATAACCTTCTTCATGCTTGTTTTTTCACAAAATTCTTTTACGGCAAAGTAATAAAAGATGGCATCGAGGCAGCAGTTCAGATTGGCAAATATCATAGACATCTGAATGAAGAAGCTGATGTTCTGTTTCAGACTGCAGTCTTCTATGACGTGCTGTCGCACCAGGCACTGCAGGCAGATCCCGAGGTGGACTGGGGTGAAGCACACCAAAAATACCACCAGGTTAATGGCAATGACTCGTAAGGAGCCGCTATCTTCTTCGTGCTTTTTACCTCTGCTTTTTTGATTCACAAGAATAAAGATGTTTTGAACAGAACAGAAAACCATGGCCGAGAGTGGGATCAGGAACCCAAAAATCTCCACAGAAACAATGAGGGGGATGCTCCAGGCCTGTTCTGACATGTTGTGAAAGCACTTGAAGTTCTCGTGCTTGTGAAACGCGTACATGGGGCTGCTGCAAAGCCAGACTACTGCCCAAATGAAGCAGCAAATCAGGATTGCCCACTTGGGGGACTGGTTAGCTCGGCCGTCGAAGGGGTGCCTTATGCAGATGTATCTGTCCACTGTAATGCAGACAATAATGAAGATGCTGCCGTACATGTTGACGAAGTAGAGAGACTCGATGAAGGCGCACAAGAGCCCCGGCGCCTCGGTGACCGAGTAGTAGAGCTTGAGCGGCAGCGAGAGGAGCAGCAGGACGTCCGCGATGGCAAGGTTGATCATGTAGATCGAGGTCTTGGTCTGCTTCTTCCAAAAGCAGCAGAACATGGAGAGCGCCAAGGTGTTGAGAACCAAGCCAAGGATGAAGGTGGGAATGGAGATGCCGAACTGGAGTGTCTTTGCCAAGCTGTCGATGGTGGTGAAGTCGCATTCCTCGCTGCGGTTGCTCATTTCTCCCTAAAACACACGGAGAAGAGGTTGGGAAGACGCAAGGCCTCAGGTTAGTCTCTGGATGTATCAGAACAGAATATGTTTGGATACAACTCTTTCTTTTCCCCTCTCCCTTCCTGCCCCTCCCATCCCCATCCCAATCTGATTTGGGCATTTGATCTGCCTAATTCTGAAAGCGAAGCTTCATTTTTAAGCACAGATCTTTCAACTTCCATTCTGAATGCCTTAATCTGTCAGAATCCACTATCAGGTCAATGCTTTTGAAAACTCTGAGGTGCTCTGGTCGTAGCAAGTAACCGGTATGTAAATGTCCACCACGCTTATGTTCAGTTCTTTCGTTACACGGAAATTCGTGTTCTGTCTGTTAGACCAGGTCAAAGTGATGGCTGGGATTTCCTTCAAACACGAAACACATCTGTGATTTCTGATTCCCTGTGCATCAGTAGCTGTGGGTGATAAGTTTTGACTCTCTCTGCAGTTATATAGATAAGTTTATTTCATGTAGTGCTTGCGTTTGATGCAGTTTTTGAGTAGGTCAGCTGGAGGCAACAGGCTGGGCTGTTGCGTAGGGGTGACTGGAAGAAGCAATGGAGAAGCTTGAGAAGCTGATTAAAAACTGAAGCTTAGTGTTAGAGGACAGATGGTGGCAGGGGGCTAATAAGTGTTACCAAGCAGGGTTGGACTTAAGTAATTCTGTTTTGTTTACATGATTGCAACATATATATAAGATATATATATAGAGGAGGAGGGAGAGCGCACGCATGGGGCTGAGAGCGAGTGCGTATGTGGGAGCCCGAGAGGGGAAGCGAGAGCAAGGAGAGCTGCTAAATACTAAGTGACGAGCTGGGTAGGTGTTGGGCTTTGCCAAATCTGCTTTTGATTGGGATGCTGATGTTCAAATGAGTGATAGCAGAAGTAACTCTGAATTGAGAATGATCTCAGAGCCTAATGTGCTCGGGCTGGGGAAACCAGATTCTTTCTAGCTCAGACTTCTGAAAGAGCTGGCACAAAAAGCTAGAGGTTTGATCCAGGAGTTTTTATGGAGTCTATCAACTCGGTATGGAATCAGTGGATCTGGAAAAAAGTCAGGTTAGTGTATAGTGTATTTCCTATATAAGGAAATAAGGTCAAATGTAATTAAAGCAGCTCTTAGCCCAAAGCTTCATGCAGATTTTAATTTGAAGCATAACTGTGTAAAAAGCACAAGGCCTTGCCAGACCTTGCCAGAGTAGTGTTGGCTTTGGCAAAATACCTGATTTTTCAGCTAAGGGAAAGGCAGAAGGTCTAAGGCATTTCGGTAAAGCACAGCAGAAATAACCAAATACTGCAAGTAAAACTAGGGGTTAGTACAAGGCTTGTTGAGTAGGTGAGAATGTGGTTACAAGAAAACTGAGGAGCACACAAGAGCCAGGGGAAGCTGCTGGGGGATTCACGCGCTCCGGGGGGACCCGGCCTTCCAGGAGCCCAGCGGCCACCCGGAGCGGGAGCCGCCAGCAGGATGGAGGGAGGAGGTGGCAGTGAGGACCCTCACCTGGCCCGGCTGCTTGGGCTGAGCCGCCGCGGTGGGACAGTCACCGCTCGGTGCGTTTAGTCAATAGCAAGGGAAACCTGCTTGTGATCGGCAGATTGTTCTGTCGGAAGCGAGAACAAAAGAAAACCTTGGTTTATTACTCAACCTGGGATTGATTCGTGCCTTTGAGGCAGCTCAGTGTGAGGCAGCTGCTTAAAGAAGTCGTGTGGTTGTGGCACTCGCTAGGTAAGGTAATTCTGCTGCAGGTGGAGCTGCGTCGGCACCGTGCGCGCGTGGGGTCGCTGCGTATGGGCACGGTTGTCACCTGGATACAGGCAGGTAGGAGGAAATAGGGGTGTTGTGCTGTTGTGTGGGCTGTTGTGTGGGTGTTGTACTGATGTGTCACCTGTCAGCTGGAGCATCCCTTAGTTGGGGTAAAAATCAGAAGAAATCGGGAGAAGTAATTATGGAGAGTACCTGTTAACCCAGCATTTTGTGTCCTGTGTGAACGCATCAGAAAATTGCTTGTGATCTCTTTTTAAATTAAAAGTATGACTTTTGATTCTACTTTTATCAAGTTTGCACTGATTGTGTTTCCTTTAGAATTCGTTAGTGCAATTACGTGACATGTTACTCCTGAAAAATGCTTCGTTTCAAGCAAATGATGGCCACTCTCCAAACTGGAAATTTCAGGTATTCAAGTGAAGTGGCAGATTCTCAAAAGTCTGATGTTTTTGATGATTTTGTGCTTCTCAAGTTTTAATTTCATGTTTTGAGTGATCGGTGGAATTGTTCATGAACAGTCCACACAGAGTAATGCTCGCCCAAAATGATTTGAAGAAGCATTTTCTTTAGCAACCAAGTTGCCAGTTATTTTGTAGGCATCTTCCTTATCACATTGTCCAAGTTATTAACAGAAACACTGAGGATACTGAGCCCTGAAAGAGCAAACCTTTCCTGTGTGAGTGAGACCGGTGAGTATCTCGGTGGGTGCCGATGTTTTGCTCACTCATCACATACAAGTTTCATATAGATCATGTCTCCTTAGCTTGTTTATGAGAATTTCTTTAGAGAAGCATCAGGTCAACTCCCCCCTACCCTCTACCTAGGTGCTGTCAAGTCTGTCCCTAAAGAAAGTTGGATTATTGTGATTTCAGTAATTTTCAGGCAAATCTGTGCATATTGTTACTTACCGCTGTGTTGTCTTCTAGGTGCTTGAAAAAAGGATTTTTGATGGATGTTTTCAGTATGTTTCTTGAAGAAAGTCTTAGTGCTCACAATTTCCCAGCTCCTCCTTTTCCACCTTGTTTAAAGGCAGGCTCCATGTTTTTCTTTTCCCATCTTCTGAAGAAAATTCCCTCTCTTCTCCATGCGTTTTCAGAGAGAATTGCTAGCAGCTCTAGGACTGTTTCAGACAATTTCTGTAATTCAAAGGATAATGGAAGAGCCTCTTCTTAACACTGCTTAAGAGAGAGTGTCTAGCCCAGTCTAGACCCACCGTTGTCACTGCTCCACATGCTCCCCATTTCTCCTAGAGAGTGAGAATTTCTCACTTGCCACGGACTAGTTAAGCCACCGCTATGGCTTAACGGGGGGCAGGAGCTTGTGGCAAAGCTAGTAGCAACGTTACTGGCCTATCAAATGGAACACCAAGGTTTTACAGCGTTACCTCTGCTGACTCTTTTTGCAACACAGCAAAAAAAAAAAAAAAAAAAAAAAAAAAAGGAGTGGTGTGTATGTATTTTTTGTTTGTTTGTTTTTGGAACTCGGATCTGGGCTCATCCCGGGCTGGTTGGATTAGACAAGTGGGACCACCCGGAGGGATGGATTAAGAACAGGCTAATCCATGGAAGCGTCATGGGTAGGAACTTTGTCACCAGAAATCTGCAGCTTGCTGTAAGCGTAGGTGTAGTTTTAATAGTGAGGAAGCAACAATCAGATGACACAGAACAGCAAACCAGTCTTTCTAATTGAGCTGCAGTGCAAAAGAACAAGGCAAATTCAGGTCACTGCTTCAGCAAGGACTTTTGCAGCATTTACTAGTTACTCTCGTAATCAGTGCAAACCAAATAATGTTATTGCTATGAAGCTGGTTTTGTTTGCAATTTCTAGATCAATATTCATGTTAGATATAAATTACTGTTTTGTGGGTGTGCAAGAGAAGAGTAAGAAGGTTTAGTGCAATAAACGGCCGATCCCACACCTGCCATATGTTTAATTTGTGGTTGATAGTTTCTTGTCATTTTTTTCTAGGTATTTTAATTGTAAGAGAGTATATTTATGCATTCTTCTTAAGTTGGAAATCTTCCTGCTTTAAGACAAGCAACATTACACTTCATCTTAGCTTTTGATCTTTACAAGAAATGATCGGGTTCTATTAAAAATAGTGCTCTACAATCAATGCTTTATGAAACTACTGAAAAAAAGAGAAGAGAAAGATTAAAATATCAATTACTTTACCTGAATTCCAGTGAGCAGATCAGCAACACTGCTTCAGTCAAGAGCAGTCTATAGAATTTGTCTACAGATGATACCCTGCAGAGAACTCTTACTGTATGGCATGAAGTTTTACCACATCCTTTTTTTTTTTTTTGTATTTTTTTCCTATTTCAGAACACTCTGTCTCTGTTTCTTTATATAGAACAGTGAAGGTGAAAGAGTAAAATTATAAATCCTCAGCTGCTTCCAGTGAGCAGTTGATGATGGGGGAGAGCAGTCGGTCTCCAAAGCCGGGGTTGGTTCGGGGCTGGTTTTTCCTTGGTGTGAAGCAGCTGAGAGCTTGCGCTTGGGGAGTGGCGAATGTCACATCGCAGACTGTCGCCTGTGCTGGAGGGTTGCTGGGCAGGTGAGAAGTTTAAGGAGTGACTGTAGAAACAGTCCTTCTTCCCCGCATTTTTGCCCCATTTGCATACTGGAGATGGGCACTCGGGTGCTCGGGTGCTTCTGAAAGATGCAGATACTCCCCTGAGTGCAGCTGTTGAACTATTTAAAGGACCTGTGGCAGTTTTAGCAAGTTCAGGTGTTGGATTCCTAGCTGCAAGTTGGCATGAGCCCTGCTGACTGGCAAGGGGTGCGAGGTGCGTGGGGCACAAAGCTGCTGTCCCCAGGCACGGCTCTGCGCCGCGAGCCCCATCGCAGCCTCTGCAGCCGCGCGAGCCCTCCAGCTCCCAACACGTGGGGTGGGTTTGCAGCAGTTTGCTGCCAGCAGCTTGTCCTAATGTCCTGAAGTACCCTTTGGGGTTCTTTCTGTGGGCTTGGAGGCACTACCTAACGAGCAATGTTTTGGAAAGATCAGCTGGGGCTTGGTGGGGGCTGATGTCAAACTAATTACATGATTTGGCGTAATTTTACTGGGGAAAAAAATTAACTGCAGTTTGATATGAATGTGATAGTCTCTTAAATAACAATGCTGTCTCCAAGCTGGGAAGACAGCTTTTCTCTGGTGAAAGGGAAGAAACTAAGTTCAGGTTCATGTGCCACATGAACACTT